TTTTGTCAAGCATGATAGCTGAAAGTTAAGCTTCAAGCTCGCAATATTAATTATAGTTCTGATGGTTGATCATAGGCTATTTGGTTAAAACGGCAAACGCTCCTTATATGGGCTTACGTCGAAATCATTAGGCAAAATAAATTTATATTGATTATGAATATTCGGATTGATAATTATGATTTGGTTGATTGATTATTAAAATTAAGTCATTATCATTATTATTATTTTAATAGAAATTCATTGATGGGACGTACTTATTGCTAGAGTATGAGTAATTTTCATTATCTTTTAAATGATATGAGTAAAATAATCGTAGAGTAGACTACGAAGCTCTCACAATTATTTTACTCCGTTTTCACTTTTAAATTACTCGAGGTATTAATTATTATGTAAACTCTATAGGTTGGTATCAGGCTCTGGAGATATTAAAATAACAAAGGATGGAAACGTACTACTTCATGAAATGCAGATTCAGCATCCCACAGCTTCTCTGATCGCCCGAGCATCGACGGCTCAGAACGATATGACTGGAGATGGTACTACGAGTACAGTCATATTGATCGGAGAGATGTTGAAACTGGCTGATCTTTATATCTCAGAGGGCCTTCATCCCAGATTAATTACCGAAGGTTTTGACTTGGCAAAAGTGAAAACTTTGGAAATTTTAGAGAAGTTTAAAGTGCCCGTTGAGCCATCTAGAGAGAATCTCACGAGCGTAGCAAGAACTGCGCTTAAAACAAAAATTCATCCTTTGCTTGCTGAAAGACTGACGGAAATTTGTGTCGATGCAGTTTTAAATATTAGACAACCGGATAAAGAGATTGACCTGCACATGGTCGAAATTATGGAAATGAAACACAGAACATCGGCCGATACTACTCTTATTAAAGGACTTGTACTGGACCATGGTTCTCGGCATCCGGACATGCCAAAGAAACTTGAAAATGCTTATATCTTGACATGTAATGTCAGTTTAGAATACGAGAAGTCGGAGGTACGTAAGAATATGAACACAATATGAAAAATACAAAAGACTGAGTTTTTCACGTTTTTCATTTCTTTTACGATTTTTATATTACTTATTCTATTTTATCTATTGTTGTACTTTTATAGCGAATTTTAACAATTATTTTGTATATTAATTTTATTTTTTATTTTTTGACATTCCACCAATGAACTTTATTTAATATAACTTAATCTTATTTACAATTTTAGGTAAATTGCGGTTTCTTTTACAAGACAGCAAGTGAGCGTGAGAAGTTGGTGAATGCCGA